TGGTATTACTAACTTATTGCAATGTTAGTAGTACTATGGAATGTATAGTATAGTAATGAATAAACAAGCAGATGTAGGGCGGCTTGTGGAAGCTTCTAGAAGCTTCCATCCGTCCGAACTGCGGGGGCGGCATTTTTACTTTGACGCGCCCTCCCCCAAGTTCATATCTTTTTGATATATGCTCCCTGTAAAGAAATAGAACCGTTCAAACGAGGCATCCATCATACCATAATAGGTCCTCTGGGCGAGAACGGTAGTGTTCCTCAAATCAAGCAAACGAAATTGCGGAAGTCCTCTGTTACCACCGTGTTGTACGGCAGACCGTCATTGAGCAACCACCTGGCAATGTGCACGTTAAGCTCCTTTGCCGTCGGGCCCCATAGCCTTTGCAGTGCACCTCGTTTTGCCATTGGCTCTTGGGGCGACAAGTGGGCAGATGAGTCGACACTGCTCTGAGACAAGTATCCAGGGGCCGACTCTAGTTGGTTCCGGGCTCACTTAACTTGCTTCTGCATCTCAGCCATACCAACCGGATGCTTGCCATGTTTTGAGACCATGTTGTCCTTGACATTGGAAGTGTGACTCCAACGCCCAAGCCCGCTCATCCACGCATCTCCTGGATGGTTTGCCTGGCTGGAGGCGGTTGCCGCACACAGAATGCATATAAGGGTGAACCGCTCAGCATCGTCATCATCACCCACCGCATAGGGAGTTGCGAGTACCTGTGCCACGTCCCACACGTTATCGCGTTTACCAGGTTCACGGAAGTGATGCACATCAATCGGAATCCCGTATGAGTCCACACCAACAGGACTGTCGGGCGGCAACGTTGCCTCCGACGACTGGCTGCTCATTAGCTCCGTCGTGTCCGTAGAGTCCTGGCTACTGGCAGGTTCTTGAGATGATCCAGGCGCCCACCCCACAATCTCAAAGGTATGTCGCCGATCGTCCGCAGCAACAGTCCCCGCAGACAGATTCTTGGACCTCCAATTCGTGACACACGACGCACTGCAAAATCTATAACGCATCTGTTAGTAAAGTGAATTCAATTATAGAATCTATAATGTTTAAAGTTACTTACCGGACGGCGATGTTGTCCGGGTCGTATAGGCCGTTGGAGCAGAGATGATGGACCGGCCTTTGGCAAACAGAGCAAGGGTCCGTTACCGCGATGTCGGGGTAGTCACATCCAACAAAGGAGCACTTCATTGGTGCGAGAGAGGCGTTGAGCGGGCTGGAAAGGCAGTCTGGGTTGCAATGAAAATCGCAAAGTGAGTGAAAGCTCGCTCAGGTCGCAAGCAAATGAGATTGACTTGCGCATCAGAGCTGAAAAGGACCCGTTGAACGAAGTTACTTTGCAATTGTGCTTGAAGGCTCACCGGCAGCCATTCAACTTGCAATCCCGTTGTGTTCGAGCGAAGAAAACGACGGGAATAT